AACAAACTATGCGAAATAGATGTGAAATATTTTCGCAGTCATATAACCCTGCGAAAAGAAGGCGCATAATCATCGTAAATTATGCTGCATTCGATATGTATATACGATTATTAAAAATGCGAAAGATGTTCGCACATTTGTAAATTATGCGTTTGATGTGGATATACGATTAAAAAATGCGAAATGTTTACGCATAGTCAGAAATTATGCGGCCGATTTGGATATGCGCTGGTTCATTTGGACATGCGAGTGTAATATCTCATAGCATTTCGTGAATTTTGGGGTGTAAAAGAAGAAATTTGACGGGGTGGTGTGAAAAAGAAAGAATAGATATATAATGGGGTGAAAAAGATTTTGACCCATATCTATTTCTCTCTAGTTTTATAACATTATTTTTTTCTCTTTATGTATCCTTTTCTTTGTTACGTTACAGTTTTCTTTTCTTGATATACTTTTGGCAGTGTTTGATATTTTAGAAAATGGAAATAATCATTTATCTGAACTTTTATTGAAATGATTTTCTAAAACAGAACAGTAATGTCTTTATGCGCCATACATGTATATTATTGATCCACTGCTCTCAATTCTTTGCTAACTGAAAGAGAAATAGAATCCGATTCTGCCACTTGCACAAGCAATTACAAACCCAACAAACCGAATCAACAGTCGATCCCCAAGTTCCGAGCAAAGATTGCCCAATGCACCACCACCAACCACCGCCTGCAACCACCACCTCCGCCGTCCCTTCCCTGTACATCCTCCTCGGCACCGCCCTCTTCTCTGTACTCCTCGTCCTCTCCCTCACCACCGCCCCTGCTCCTCCGCCGGCCCCAACCCAGCCCCACCCCTCGCTATTCCCCCACCGCCTCTTCATCCTCAACGGGATAAACACCACCTCCGCCGCTGGAGAATCACAGCCGCCCCCTCCCGCACCATCCCTAGCCTATTTCATATCCGGATCCGCCAAGGACTCCGTTCGGGTTGTCCGGCTCCTTCACGCCATCTACCACCCCAGGAACCATTACCTGCTCCACCTAGACACTTCTGCTAGCCAGACCGACCGCGACGCTTTGGCTGTCACCGTCCAATCAGTGCCCATCTTCAAAGCTGCTCAGAATGTTCACGTGATTGGCAAGGCGGACAATGTGTTCTCCGGCGGGCCGTCTGATCTTTCGTCCACACTTCACGGTGCTTCCGTTTTGCTCCATGTGTCCACTAATTGGGATTGGTTCATAAACCTTTCGGCTGCTGATTACCCTCTGATCACTCAAGATGGTATTTTCAAATTCAAAAACTATCTGCATATAAGTGGTTTGAAGTTTGTGCCCTCCTTCTTGTCAGTTGTTACTTGATACATTTTATAAGTTGCTGAGCGTTGTGAGTTCATTATGTAAATAAATGATATGCAATTGAGTTTTATAAGATATTGGTGTTGTGTATGTGTAGTTGGATCACTAATCTCGCTGCAACTGATTACCAGCTCTCTAGCTCGTAAATTTATTTCCAAAATCGTATCATATGCAAGTGTGAATTGTTATACTGAAATATTTTGCTTAGTTAATGGCTTTGCTAAATTTATTTGTTTTGTGTATCTGCAGATGCAACTATATATATATATATTCAATTTTAATCACTTTTAGGTCAAAATGAGTGTTGTAGTGTTGTATTTTACCTCTGTTCTTTCCCATCTTTCTTTTTATGATTAACATGAGTGTGTGATTTCATTTGTGTTTTGTCTGGTGATGTTAATATAGTGTCCTCAACTTGTCCTTTTAACTTTAGATATCACCAAAATTTTAATAAAGAGAGAATGGTTTAACTCATATTTTAATTTTGTCCATTTTATTGTGTCTATTTTTCAGTCTTGCTATACCTGTAGTTGAGTTAAGCTTAAACACTAGCAATCACGAGAGTTCAAAAAAAAGTGAGGTTGCATATACCCAAAGATGTTTCTTAACCTTGCTGCTCCAAGTTAATTTTTGCCACTTCTCGGAAGAGTTATGTCTATGTGTGTACAGCGTTTTCCTTAAACTTATGTGCATGATCTTTGAGAAACTTTCTGATTTCTTAAACTTAAGCATTGTTTCTGGTCAGAGTTGTCTAGTTCCTCACCTAATTGCACTTTGGTTTGCATTACCTTTTCTCATCAAATGGTAACACCAAGCCCTTACCATATATTATGAATGTCATTTGTGGTCTCGTCACGTGATTATGTGTTTCCTTGTCTATGGTTACTGTTTCTGGCTATAAAAATTTGTGAGCATTATGACATGTCAGTTTTTCTTCCCCTTTCCAGATCTTCTGCATGTTTTATCATATCTGCCCAAGGATCTTAATTTCGTGAACTACACAGGCTATATTGGCTGGAGAGAGTATGCTTCCTTCTTTAAATAATTTTAATGTCTTGGGTTAAGAGATGTGATTATGCTGATTAAATTTGATTATCGAGCAAATATTAATCTTTTCAGGTCAAGGAAATTGAAGCCTATAGTAGTCGATCAAGCACTCTTCCTTTCAGAGAGCAGCGAGATGTTTTTTGCCACTCAAAAGAGACCCCTTCCAGATGCCTACCGATTGTTCACAGGTCAGTTTCTCCAACAGTACACCCTTTGTCTTTTTTAGATATGTTTAGTGGTATCATCTCAGCTAATGCAAGGTTTATGAATTAATGATACACATGCTCATCAGTTGCCATATCTTCTTGCATTTTTTAATCCGCACAAGAAAATCTTTTAATCAAAAGTTTCCCCAACGTAACCTATGTTTGTAAAATTTTCCGTGTTTTTCCCAAATGAGAGAAAATAGACAACAAAGATAAATAAATATATACAATAAAGGAAAAGGTACTTCCGTGCCCTCCTGTCCTACTTATGTTCTAGAGACAGCAATGCGGAAAATCGTAGCATCTCTTGTGGGCTGTGCATTAATGTTCGCAGATTGACTATTTAGTGAGATAGGTAATTCTTTGATGTTACTATGAGCAACATTAAGTAAATGAAAAAAATACTTTTCACTTGCATGCGTCGCTGATGATATAAAGGTAATACTTTGATGTTATTTTCAGGAGCTCCCATCTTTAAAAATCCATTGTTCAAATACACCAATCTTAAAATTAATTACATGTCTGTCCATTCACATGCTGCTCTTCAAGTATATGTCACCAAATTCCATTCACACTGCATTGTGGGTACCTGTTATTTTATATTGTGTCAAATTAACTCAACCATTTTTGTTTGTTAGTAGGTATTTAATGATTAAAAGAACATTGTTATGCGTCTGTCTAAATAACCAAAGGTCCAAAACATTAATCTCCTTGCTACACATGAGATTTGACCGATACTTTATCCAATGCTGGGCTTGTGTTTGGCAGTTGTACGACCCCTCTGGAGAAGAAACTTATGTATGAAAAATGTAGAATGAGTAAGCCAGCAAGAGTGTTTACATATTCTCACATGCAGGCTACACACTAGCATGAAAAGCACTAGAATAACGAAGCTCATCCTTTTTAGTAGCATTGATCGTTTTCTCGAATGTGATATCTGTGAAAAGTTGAATGGGACTAGTTTCTAACCACTGATTGAGACTGGTTCTTACTCTTATGATGTATGGGCTGTTCCCTAAAGTCCATTGTTAGACTGCTGGTATTACGAGCTATGCAGATATAAGAGATTTTCTATAAAAGAAAAAAGAAAAAGAAAAGTTTATAGTGGGATGGCCTGATTTTACTGTTGAGTGTGGAATAAGTATATGATATTCAGCACCTTCCTGTTGTCGGCAATCCAGTATGTGTTTGAAATTCAGACCCCAAAACCAAATGAGGTTGTTCTATCCACATTCAGATAATATCAGGAGCTGAAAGTATTTGAGTGTGGGAATTAGTTATTTTTGATTCGCACATTTTCTCGTGCTAGTTACTTTAGCCTAATAACTTGAGCACCTAAAATTTCAGTGGCAGTTCTAGTTACCTGAAAAGATTTGATTCCTATTATTCTTGTGAATATATTTCCAAGTTCTGATTCAGTCCGACAGACGCAAAAAACAACCAACAAATTGCAGAATAAAAGATAATAATAGCTTCTTTGAATGAAATAGTGTTCCGGGAATGATTCCCAGCAGTATAAACTAGATTGTCCAGCTTATAGCCGACTCCAGTTATTTTTCTTACTGCTGAAAAATCCTATCTAGATTTAACTATTAAGACTTGGATATAAGTTTTTTTTATAAATATTTGTCTCTCCTGAAAAATGCGATGGAGTAGCGAAGTTGTTTTTTGAAAAAAGTGAGACAAATTTGATATTGTGGGTCTGATATGAGATAAAAATGTAATAATTAAAGTTGATGTGGTATATAAATAATATAATATTTCTTAGTAGTTAGAAATATGTGAGTGAACAGTTTTTTTTGTCGGAAAAAATATAATAATATTTTGCATTATTATTTCTTGTTTTTCGATTCACATCTCAATGTTGACTGGCCGGACAAAAGTACGATATTATCACATCCAACTGTGGCATAAGAGGCTGAATTTTTTCTTGCCCCCAGAATAAGCTATTGATAAGCAATATGTTAATAATTAGCCAACTAAATATCAGCTACAAATCTATATTTTCTATTTTCTCCCATCTTTTGTCCATTACTCTCAGTTGTATTTCCAGCTTCTCAAAATTTAGTCCCTTTTTAGACAAAGCATGTGCTCCCGTGATCTATTGAAAATCGTAACGAAATCTTACAAGGAGGCACATCCTATAATACAAACCGAAATATATTTTTTTTTCTTTTTATTTATTTTTTTCTTTCTTGCAGGTTCATCATCGGCAATGTTAAGCCGCAAGTTCATCGAGTATTGTATTGTTGGAATGGACAATCTACCCAGAACCCTCCTAATGTACCTATCCAACACGCCCACATCCTCCTCCGTTTACTTCCCTACAGTTCTGTGCAATATCCCTCGATTTAACCGGACCACATTCAACTTCAGCCTCCGCCACCTGTCTCTCGACTCTCGACACAGACCCCGTTTCCTAAACTCCACAGACTTTGACTCTGTGATTGAGAGCGGGAACGCCTTTGCTGGGCCCTTCCATCCGGATGACCCAATTCTCGATCACTTGGATCGGGTAATCTTAGGCCGAGACGCGGGAAAAACAGTGCCCGGAGGGTGGTGTTTGGGGGAGTCCAGAGAGGATAGGTGTGACATTTGGGGCGATGCGAATGTGTTGAGGCCCGGCCCTGGTGCTACGAGGCTTGAAGGCCGGTTCGTTCGGACCCTGTCGAGCGAAACGGGCCGGTGTGTGGAAGAATGATGTCATTTGGTTAGATTTTTTTGAGCGACTATGTTGTGTATTATATTGGTGGGGGCTAGCCGATTCTTTTATAGAGCGTTTGTTATACTTGAAAGATGAGGTTAAGATTTTTGCACATTGACAATCCTGATCGATGGGTGGAATGGGAATGTTCTTTGGTATCAAAGATGAGGTTACGACGTTACTTTAGCAGAGCTTCTATTCTCTCTATTTCGTATTAAATTTCAATTCTGTCAGACAATGTTGGTGTTCTCATAAAAATTTCCCTATTTATTTTTCGTACTTTCTACAATCTTACCCGTCCTTGCTCTCGTGGTCCATTGTGCTTAGTTTCCACTTTCCACTAAAACATGTTCAATTACATAATGTAGTCGAGAAGGAATCAGATCGGTCCAGCTGCTTCTATTCGGTTCTCCCAATGTTACAATCCAATAATAATGATTGTTGTAAAAACGGTCTGACTGTTGTAACTGTTATATTTTTTGTTACTAGTAAACTGCACGTGCGTTGCACGTGAGAAAAATTGAGTTGCTTTGTGATTTTTTTTTTTTTTTTTGGTTAATGAAGTTCGTGTTATTGTTCCAACTTGCATGGTTGTGCAGAATATCATTTGCAATATCTTTTACATTTTCTTCTTGCTATTTTGTATTAAATTTTATTTAGTGCGAATTTGAAGATATTGAAATAATATATGAAATTACGAATGCATAATTATTCGAAAGATAATTTTTTCCAAATAAAAATAAAAATCAAATATCTTACTATGCAAAAACAAATCGTCTAGAAAATAGAGAATTAACTAAATAAGGAACTAATACGAATTATTGTTGCTTCAGTTCTTCTCCTTTTTTATGTTGACGACTGAAGATCGTTTCCTTCCTTTTGCTTTTGTACTTTTTCTTGCACATTTCTTCTTAATAGTACTAATTCTCTCATGATCTTCAACTTCAATAACGCAATCATTTTCATCTTCTATAATCTTGTTGATGGATCGCTTCTTTCTGATGTTGGTCCTTTATGACGAATTGGCTTCATCCACATGCAGATCAGTGGGGCTTTGTAGAGAAATTGCTTGGTTATCTTTCATATCCTCATCGTGTGTAATTTCTGTCCTTGCAATTGCCTCTGCCACTACATTGAATTCTCCTCTTGAGTTGAACGACTTATCATATACTGGAATGAGGAATTGAAATTCAAATGTTGATTGTAAGCTCAACCCTTTGTAATATCAAGATAATTCTTCCCTCTAATGATTATCGAAAAGTAATTGTGTAATAAATATTATACTTGACGATTAACGTGAATTTCAAAATTAGTATATATTTCACCTGCTCAATTGATCTGATGTAATCATTAATCGGACATCCAACGTACACTTTTGCAGCTTCCTCTAATAAAGTTATTGTTGCATTGTGGGTATCTCCCACGACGTTTAAGACCAACCTATATCTGCAATGATTGTATATTTTTTTGTAAATGTTTTTGTGTACGTAAAATATTAGATGCGGTGTTTTTGTTATGCTTAATACCTTGGAGTTGGTTCCACGACTTTGTTATTGCACTTTTTGCATGACATGCTGTCGTCGGTCTTCGCAATTGCAGTGGCACAACTTTTATACGATTTGCATACCATAAAGATGATTTATTCATGACCTTATCCACGTATCCTTTGAAAGAATAATATTTTTCCTATGATGAAAACAAAAGTACTGAAAGATATTGCAAACAAAGTTGAAAAAGATTCTTCTTGATTGAAAGTTTTTAGATATTTCTATATGGTACCATTTAGATGTTAACGGAGGAAAAAATAGAATATATCAATGCTTTGGTATATTATGAAATATGCCGGAAGTACAATATTATAGTAAACAAACTCAGATATTAAGCATAACTTAAATAAATATAAAACTTTAAGGAATATTAATTATTGTAAATTTATATAATTTTTTGACCAACTTCCCAAGTTCATGAGAATCTGGCAAGTCACAGGCTTCCACATAGATCATTATATGGATAAGGCATGGAATTAGCATAATTGGACCAATGTGTACATTGCGTATCTACCACATAAGCCTCTATGGGCGTCTTAACTTGCTGTTCAGCCTACCAGCTCACGGTATATTTATACCACAGTAAATCAAATTTATTTTTAGAATATTATGTAGTGCATTTATATAATATTATACAATCATATTAAGTGTAGAATTTTGATACGGGAATTCTCCATTTAACGTCAAGATAATGTTTGTCGTTTACACGTAGAGATATTTAGCAAGGAAAAATTGACCTTTATTTTATTTGTTTATATGATTTACCTTATTGAGCTCGTCTTGATTGAACAAAATATGATGTAAGGTCACAACTTCGACATCCTTCATCCTTTGTTTCATCGACATTTCAAGCAAATTCACATGCTTGTCATGTGCTCGCAACCTAAAAAATATTACATATAAACAGAAGGTCTTATTATTTTGAATTATATTGTACTATATCGCATCTACTTCCTTGAATTTAGAGTATACCATTGACGAAATTGATTGTTTTTTTCCACAAGACGCGTTGATTTCCAGAATTGATGTGTTGGTTGTTTTCAATTGCATTTGACCTTATGACATTAAAGTGAACATTATTAGAATTGAAAGTCTAGTTGTTTCATCAATAAAAAACTATAGAATATAAATATCAATTTTTAAATTTAATTATTTTAGTATTTATTAATGTAATGTATTATGTCTCACCGTTGTATATCTTCGATATCATTAGCTTACTGAACGTTACGAACGGCCCTCGTGCAACCATATCATGTAGAGCAGTTCCTTCATTTTGTGCCATATCTTCCCATAAGGAGACTATAATAGATCGACACCTATAAACGCAAAGAATGTAATTCTTTATATATATATGTTGTTGTTGTTGTCATTGTTATTATAATAATTATTATTAGTATAACAAATATATTCTTAAATGTATTCCATATTTTTCTTTAATCTAATCATTATATTTGTGTAAGTAAATATTTTAAATTTGTAGAATTAATACTCACTCTTGGTCCATAATTGTAATCTCTCTTACGGGTGCCTTTCCACCCGTTGTTTACATACTTAAGATGCACATTTATAAAAAATTATATAGTTTTTTGTATCGAAAATCATTATGTTAGTAATATTTTTAGTTAAAATTTTAGTTACTTTCATTATTAATTTTTTTAATTTTGAAATAATTAATTTTTTTATTTGTTATTCTTTTATATGTAATATATCACATCATTTCTTTTCAATGATGTTTGATTGACCAATGTATTATAAAAAAATAAAATAATATAATTATTTCTATCAATATAATATATATTGATATATACTGATCTAAGATAATAAATGGACCTAAAAGTATCTTATAAAATAAATTATAGATCCATGTTAACTCGATTTTATCAAGTATAAAATAATATTTGATAAACTTGTGGTATATTTTTCTTATATTGATTTGAAATATTTATATTAAGAAAAGCTGGAAAATGGATGTAAACGTCCGACTATTATCAATATTAACTATGTGAATTAACAGAAAAAATAAATGAGTTGTATTTACACTATATTATTCAATTACTGCTTGAAATCATTGTTTCTGTAGAATAGGGCAGAGTTGATGGGCGCGATTTGTATTAAAAAAATTTACAAATTATTTGTCATTAAAAATATGTTAAAGTAAGGGTGTTCTAGACATATTGAATTTTTACAAAATCAGTAAGGGTTTTTTAGGCATATTTAATTTTTACAAAATCACTCATCCTTTTATAATAGAATATGGAATATAAAAGTAATGTAAGATGTTATATTTATGAAATCTTATATAAAATGTGAAATGGAGGGAGGAAATAGAGGTTTTATAAAATATTATATAAAATGTTATAGGACTCAAGCCTTGTGATTACATCTTACGTAAAGATTTCCAAGAGAGGAAGGAAATAGAAGTTTTGGATAAAGTTTCAAAGAACTGGTTTGAGCTTTGTGTTATATATATAATTTTATAAGTGTTCTTGAGAGAAATAGTGAATAGTATAATTTGAGTATTGTTGAGTGTCTCTTTTTCTATTGTTAGTTATATATTATTTCCAACAATCAAAAACTCTATTTACATGGAGATGGAGACGATCAAGATCATGAACAAAGACCTTGTGAAGTTGGATAGGTTTGATGGTTCGAATTTCACAAGGTGGCAAGACAAGGTGAAATTTCTTCTCACGATCCTCAAGATATTTTATATCCTCGATCCTAAATTGGCTCCTCTACCAAAGCCAAATGAAAATGAAATATTAGAAATTTTGGATGCATGGAAGAAAAGCATGACAGACGAACTAATATGTCGGGACCATATTTTAAATGCCTTGTCTGATAGGCTATATGATCTCTACACCAATAATTCGGCTAAAGAAATCTGGAAAGCTTTAGAAAATAAATATAAAACCAAAGAAGAAGGTACTAAAAAGTTTTTAATTTCCCAATATTTTGATTTCAAATTTTTTGATGAAAAGCCCTTGAGAGTTTTAAAAATTGAACTTCCAGAGGCTTTTCAAGTTGGTGCCATTGTGGCTAAACTACCTTCAAGTTAGAAGGGGTACCGAGAAAGGATTCACCACAATAAAGAAGATTACTCCTTGGAGGAGATTCAAAAACATCTTCGTATTGAGGAAGAATCGATACTACGGGATAAAATAATTGATGAGTCCAATGGTGGGACTAGCAAAGCAATTATAAACCAAAACACTTTGCTGCTAAAAAAAACAAAAAAATTTCAATAATTATTTTGGTCCAAAGATAAACCATGACAAGTTCAAGGGCAAGAAAGGCTCTTGTTTTGTATGTAGAAAACACAGACATATTGCAAAAGATTGCAGGGACCGAAAGGGGGCTGAAGTGAATGCAACTTTAAGTCATGTATATGTTGTCCATGAAAAGGTGAAAGGATGGTGGTATGATACTGGTGCCACCGTTCATGTTACC